GTTAGATATAAAGCTTTTTATTTTGTAATTTGTAATTTTTAAAAACCAAACACAGGCTTGTAATTGTAACTGTCAAATTGTTTTTTTTGATCATTCTTCTTTCTTCTTTTGGTAATAGTACTTTTTTATTTCTCTACAAAAAGATATATTATTAAATTGTGATATTCTATTATAGATGGTAGTCAGACAAGGTTTTTTAAGTTTTTCTAGTGGTATCTAATATTTCAGGTTGCTTGTAAATCCTCTTAAAAATAACTGCAGAATGTCAAACTATAAATTAGATTACTTAATATGCTTTCTATTACACCAACAAATTGAAGCTAATAAAGAATATCGGCAAGACAGCCAAAGTAGAAAAATTAATTAATAAATAAATAAAACTACTTTTATATTTTAAAATTACAAATAATGCTTTTTATAGCATTTTATTAATTAATTTTATTTAAATTCTCATTTATTATAAAATATAACTATGGTGGTTTTGCAACTATTATATTTTTTTATTATATTAAATCTTCAAGGTTTTTATACAAAATTTTCAACACAATTTTTCATGTTAGGATTAACTTTATGCTTAAAGTTAGGTTTGAAAGGTTTTGGGGGTATAGAAAATTTTACTTAAGGTACCTCATACCGATTAGATAGCCAGTTTTTGAGATAATTTATACATAGGTGTAAAACACCATAGGTTTAGTAGAAGTTTTTAACTAAATCTAATTATTTTTCTTGCAAATAAAAATTTCCAAGATTACTCTTTTATTTCTGTTTTCCTAATACTTCTATCAATACATAAAAAATTATTTATTTTTAATAAAAGTAATTTCTGAATTTTCTTTGTTTTTAGCTATAGTTCTGCTAAATTTTAATAGTACAATTTTTTATTTAAGGGAGCTATAAAGCGTCTGGAAGGGAATCAAATTATAAAGTTATGATTATGTATATTCAACTTATATTTCTGTATTACTTGTTTTATGTCATTTTTTCTGAAATGCAAACAAATATTAATGGCGTTAAATCCAATTGTAGAATCATGGAATGTAATTAGTTTGTTTTGTAAAATTTTTTTTGATACTTTGTCAGTTTTATCACGTTTGTAATCAATATAGCTTATATTAGTAAACTTCCGGATACATTATGGTGACTATTTATATGGGTCTAAATTATTTTGCTCTTGGAGCAAATCTAGACTGTCGAAATTAATTTTGACTTCTAAAATGTGAATAATTTAGTATGTAGAAGTTATTTTAATAATGCGAAAATATTTTAGTATGCGAAATTATTTCCGGATGACAAACATATTTTTTTGGATGACGAAGATGTTTTTGTATGGCGAAATTGGCGAAGATATTTAACTACTTTAGACTACTTTAGATGATTATAATAAATTTTGCATTTAATAATAATATGAAATATATGCATTGAAATCAATTAGATCACTGTTAAAAAAAAATCCGTTCAGACTATGGGCGGGCAATTTTTACATGCATTATTACTTAATATTACATTCAATTTTTTAAGTAGTAAGTAATAATAAGTAAAAAAACCCCCAGTATTTGCAAAATCAACCTTGTCCAGAAGAATTTTGACTTCAGGATTATACCTTCCAAGTTGTATATGTGAATCATGTGAATTATAGTATTTGTATGTAATAGGGATAAGTTAATAATGATATTTAAGAATAGGTAATGGCTAAAAAAATTCATATTGCTTACATAAACTATTACATTCCCATCATAATTCATTCATATAATACTGTAATATCAGCTGTCTTTAGCAATTTCAGCGGGCAAAATAGTTTTAGCAAACAAAATTAATTTCGAAATTTTAACAGGTGAATATAATTTTGTCGGAAAAATAAATTTCGCTGGCAAAAATAATTTCAGAATTCCGCCAGGCGAAATTAATTTCGCCAGACAGAATTTTGAAACATCATGACGAGAATACTAAAAAACATTTCACCATACTGCCTGCAGTAAATCATACATATTTTAGACACCCATGCGTAGGCTCTCGTATTATATATACGTCAACTTAAAGATTTTTAATAGAAAAAAAAGGAATTTGGAATGCAATAAAGGTGATTTTTAAATACACGTGAATCTCGATCTAAACAAAGTCAGGTTCATAGTAAAAATTTTGCAAAACCTTCTTATATCGAGGGTTTATTAATAACTTCTTATATCGAATGGACTTATTATAGACTGGTTTTGGTTTGACACTCTCATATAGAGGGCATAATTAGTCTTTTTATATTGAAGGTTTCTTATATCGAGAGTCACTGATATAATGAAGCATCGCATTTAAATAAGATATTTTTGAAAGTATTGCGGATGTATTTATTTGAATAATACTGTATATCATTTTATATTATAACTAAATTTCACCCGTAATAATATTACCAAGTATCACAAATTTTTTTTTAAAAAAATAAATGTTTAGATATTAGTTTAACCTTATGTCAAAAGAAGAGAAAGTATAGTTTTTATAATCAATTTTGAGTTATTGAGTTTTTGTTTTTGTTGTTGGTTTGTTTTGGTATACAAGACCCAGTGATCAAATTGGCTCTACATATAACTAGGTGATATCACGCCGAGGGTAAGTTAGCAATAGTCAAAATTGAAACAAAAGTAAAAAAAAAAAAAAAAAAAAAAAAAAAAACGAAACTAAAACAGCTTCAAAATACAGAATTTAACCTTTTTTGGATCTCAATTACTTTTATACAAAAGGTTGATCCTGATTTGATCAACTATGATCACGAAAATACAGGCATTCTACTTGTTGTGTATCTGGTTACTAAGTACGTACGTACGTACGTACGTAAAGTAATATGCCCAACTGCATCAGAAATAATATTTTTGCATTTGTGTGACAAATCGTATATCTGTATAAAAAAATAACCATTATGTATTTATAAAAACAATCTACGTATTCAATTTCAATCTACAAAACAGTGTTCTTCTCATGGCATCAAAAGTATTAGGGGGTGATATGCCCGAATTAATGGAAAGAATTTTTAATAATTTGGATAATGAAATTAAATCCTTATTTTCATGTACTCTTGTGAACCGACATTGGTGTAAGACGTCAATTCCAATTCTTTGGAAAAGTCCATTTACAGTTTCTGGAACTCCAACGTTTATATCTAAATACTTTTCATCCCTTGACGAGAACGAAAAGCTTATTTTAAAAGAATACAGAATAAAGACAGATTTTCCTAATACTCTATTTCCATATGGAAGATTTTTAAAGTTTCTTGACTTGCTTTATATAAGTAATATGTCTAGAAGATGGATCTACTTACAACTTCCTAGCCGGCGAAAAGATACGATTGAATTGGAGTGTCATATAGTTAATTTATTGTTTAGAATATTTATTGAGAGTGGTGCCACTTTATCTAGATTGCAATTACGTTTTTTTAAACCGTGTGTTGGAATTAAACCTGAGATCTTTTATTTGTTAGGACAAAATAAGCACTTTCTTTCGCAAATTTATGATCTAAGTGTAAGAGTAATAGATAACTCTTACATGGAAAATACTATTTCATGGTTAAAAATCTTGGGAAAAAGCTCTACGAAAATTGGAAACATAAAAGTTAACTGTTACAATGGATGCAAACCTCAACTGTCTAATGCATATATATACATGATTAAGTCACAAAAACAACTTAGGTGGTTTCAAATTGTAGGTAGTAGAAAATTTCCTACGGAATTCACTGGAATTATTTCAGCCCTAGAAAGTCAAAAAAAAACTTTAAAAGAAATTAAAATTGATGATTGTGCTTACAGTGCAGAGTTTGAAGTGCTAAAAAATTGTGAAAATTTAGAAGTTATTCGTGTCTCAGGTTTTGAAGTTGAGAAAATAATAAAAACATTTGACACAAGTCGTTGCAACATTTTACAAATATCTTCAACACATTCAATTGATGCATCGAGCTTAATACAAAGTTTGGAAAAGGCGGGTTCACTATTACAACGACTTGAAGTTAATGGACAAGAAATTCAATCACAATCGTTATTACTAAAGACACTAATGACCTTTTGTCCAAACATTACTTACCTCAATTTTGGGGGTATTACACTTTCTGATCAATTCTTGGAATTTATTAGCAGATTGCAAAGACTTCAATTTCTTACCCTAGACTGGATAGTGGATGAATCAAAAGAAGTGATGAAGACATGCATCATGGACTTTGCTAAAATATTACCGTCGACATTGCAATATCTTAATTTAAACAATGATCCGTTAGATTTGTACATTGATATTTTGCTTAATCATTGTGATGCACCTTTAAAAGTATTGTTATTTAAGATTATCTACGGTAGTCATGATTATGAGAAAAAAATTGAAGCATTGATTGGATTTTGTAATCGTAAAAAGACCTTAAAGTATGTGGATATAATCGATTACGATAATGAAGGACTAATTCCAAGTCTCGAGAATTGGGATAAAATTTATCATGAATTAGAAGAATATGTTGAATTAGTGCCATACAGATCTCTATCCTTCGATTGTTAATTATTATTATCTAAGGTAAGCTAATATAACATAATTATTAAACTGTTACAGTGATATATCAATATATATATATATGCTAAATTTTAATAATTCATACGCCTAGCATCATGTGAATCATGGTTCCAATGTATCTATAATTATCAGGATGCTAGTATCTTAAAATACACAAGATAGATATAAAATTCAATTAAATCTTATGAAAATGTTGAATATTTTCTATATTATATCTGTAAATTTTATGTCAAATATAAAGAAAAGAATGTTATAGGTTTGAAATTGCGTATAATATAAATGTTATTTACAGTGAAGGATCTGTGCTAAGTTTAGTCGATTTTGATCGATATTGGTCCGCATAAGGATTTAAAATAAAAATTACGAGAGAAGTTTTTGTTAGAGCACGAAAAGCAGTTTTATTGGCAAAAACATCAAGATAGAAAGTTTTTTTTCCTAATTTTATCGCTTATGTTTAAGAAGCCTGGCACTGATCACGATTTAGAATTTTCATCTCGTGCTATTCCTCTTGCTCGTCATTAATTATTTTTATTATTACTACTCTTGTCATGATTACAGTCATGCCTCCCTAAGTGCACCCTCTAGAACAAATTACAGTTATTTCCTATTGCTGTGTATGTAATTAGTGGGGTTATTAGATGACAGTTTGTCTGAAAAAAAAGGTAGTGTAGTAGCTTGAGTATAAGAAATATAAAAAGGGAGTTTGTAATTTTCTCTCAATGACTCGAATATTGTCTTCACATTGTTGTCATTGAGTCGTTTATCGTGTAAAGTAAAAAAGAAAGGTGCTCATCTTTGAAGACAGATGCTGCGGGGATTCTTGTATTTAAACCCTCTTATAAAGTTTTCTCGGACTTGATCTATCTAATTAACCAATAAATATAAGTTTGTAGGTAATTCAAAGCCAAAGGCAACTTATATACGATTATCGAAATCTCCCACTTATCTAATTATTGTACCATCGCACTGTTGAATCTTCGATTTGGTTTCTCCAACAGCATCATTCCGCTAACCGGTTATTTGCTTATTTAGATAGTCGTTCAATCAATTACTGCATCATATCACTCTTAATACCGTATCCTATCGTAAATAAGCACCCATCGCGAATAAGCACCCTATATAACAAAAATTGTCGATCATGAATAAGCACCCAATTGTATTTATTACCATAGTTTGATTGGCGGAGTATCATATGAGATAAAATTTTGATAAACTTTTAGACAGCGCTGATCCTATCATGAATAAGCACCCGCTACTATGTTCAATGTGGGTGCTTATTCACGATAGGATACGGTATCTTTTATATTATTTATTTATTGATCAATGATCACACCTTATTATCTATTCTTCATTCTCTTGCGTTCTGTTCTTATAAATAACCAACTCTCCATCCTCTTTTACCCGTTTTGCATTCTAGATTTACTCTATTGTAAACATACGTTCTCTCTCGAAACGACAGTAACACAGTAACACCACAAATCTCATGTAAGCACCATATCATGCCTCACAAAGGGAACATTAGACACAGCTCGGTAATTTGTCATAACTTTATGATATTATTGAAAGAGACTTTATTTTTTCACGTAAACGGAATAGACTGTTTTATATTATTTATATTTGAAGACAGAGTTGTATACTATTTAATCACCTGTAAATCGCAGGATCAATTTTACAGGAGAGGAGTCTGGTAAATGATCACTAATTAATGTTTCCCTTTCCATCATTTATTTCACAAATGAAAAAAAAATTCATAATCTTATTTAATCTATTCTATCACTATTATCGATAATCATCGAACCCAAAAATTGAGAAATTTCAAATCTTATTTTTTTCGATTTCTTCATCTTATATTCATATGAATTCTAGTTGCATAGAAAATACAAAAGGCATAAAAATAAAAATGACTTATAGTATAACATAAGCATCATAAAAGCAAAACGAATAAAACATAAATTATGGTACGAAAAGAACAAACTTGACAAACGCAGCCAACGACATTTTTTTTTCCAACACCAGTGTTAGACAAAAGGATATAAAAGTAGCAACCACGAAAATAATTAAAATTATGAAATATTGAGAAAATTAACTAATAAAATAACAGTAAATAACCAAATAATAAACATTGAATTGCGATCAAAATATCCAGATTTTACATTTCTGTGCCATTGCCATTATCATTACTATCATTACTATCATTACGTTGAATTTGGCGCAATAATGAAAAGAAAAAAAGTTAATTACTACAGTACAAAATGTTCAGCTCATTATCATGCCGATTAAATAACCTAATCAAACATAAAAAATTTCAACATAGCCATTAAACCAATTCTATAAGTTTTGAATATAATGCATTCACATTGATTCTTTCTTCTGGAATATCCTTCCATGCTTTAAAAAATTAAAATAATAGTTAAACAATTGTAATGTCAGAATTTGTAATTAATGTCGTCTAAAATATTAGATTAAAATAACCTACCATGTTGAATAATATCTATAAAACCTTCTTGGATAACTTTGTTTTCTAGATCAAGAAAATTATTACAAATTTCTCTATTGCCTTTCATAACATGAGGTATCACATCATTTGATTTCATATTACTATAGGGAATCTTTTGGTAAGCTAATTCCCACATAAGCATTCCAAAACTATAATAAAAAATTTAACAATCATGACGACAATTGACAAGTTGTTGATTAATTGTAACTAAAATTTAAACAGTAACTAGGAAAAAAACTACCTGAAAATTTCACCTTTTTGGCTATATGGGATTTGATTAGAATTATCGGATTCTTTGAATAGTTTACGCATTTTCTCGGGAGACATCCAATTGATAACATTTATTGGCTGATTTATTGCTATATTTGTCTCATTATGCAGTATGGCAAAATGAAAATTTGCGAGTTTCGGTTCCATAAAGCGTGACATCTACGCAACATCGAATAATTATACTAGTTGTTAGATTTGACAAAAGGTAGATTATATGTGCATAAAAAATATTTTGTGCATCCTACCATTATATTCTCACATCGAATATCATTGTGAAAAACGCCAACGGAGTCCAAAAATATGATCCCTTTGCAAATCTCAAATACAATTCGAGCTTTTAAATTCCATGAAATACATTTTTTATTATAGACTTCTTTTAAATTGCCCATTTCAGCCCACTCGAAAATCATAACTTCTTTACCATTAACCTTAGAAATCCCATAAAATTTTTCAATATACTGAAATTCGTCTAGTTTTCCCAAAATTAATAACTCACGGCGAAACCATTGATCCTCGAGATTACATGGTTTGCAAGCTACTTCGATGAACCCTTTACAGACTTTTTTTACGATTTGTCTTGATTTACCACGACACTCTGATCTGCGGTTAAGTAACGGATCTTTTAGCAAAATTGGATCGAGTTGTTGGATCGAGTCTTTTGAATTTTCGAGTTGGTTTTTAATATTGCACATCTCTTGATAAAGAGATATTTTCGTATCCTATATTTATTGATTTAAACTTAGTAAAATTATGTATCAAATTGGAAATAACGGTGAATTTGTCTCTTACAACTTTTCTACAATGAAGACTTGTTTAATACCTTAATCATTTCAGTGAAAGTTTGCATCAAAATATCGTTATCAATTCTTTGTTGTTCATTAAAAACGATAGTCATTGTAAAATTTAAATCGTTCATACAAGCGTCATATTCTTTCATTAACTCGATAAACTCCTTCTTTATGCATATAGCACGCAAAAATGTCTCATAGACTCTTAGCTGTGTTACTTTTTCCGCAAACATTTTAACCTTTTTCAAAATAGTTTGAAATTTTACAAATGACTCTTGATATTGCAGGTCTTGAAGTTTTTCGCTATATTTAGATGGTAATTTTAAGAACTTGATAATTGGTTCAACGGATGCAATGCGACTAATTATATATCTGGACATTTTCTTGTTGAATTGTGCACTCTCATGGATTGTAAATATATCATTTATTAACGAGGTGACACTGCCGAGTATTGGGACGAAAGATGATAATGTGTTAGTAACATTGACTGCCCCTTCTATGAACTCGTCAAGGTCTGGTTTCGTGGTTAGTATGGTTTCGGGATCAATTTCGGCTTTCGTTTCCATGGTTGGCGTAATTGAAACAGCTTATTTTTTTTATTTTTATTTTTTATTTTTATTTTTTTATTTTTTATTTTATTTTATTTTTTGTTTTTTTTTGAAAACGGCACGCTTTATATATATATGCTAACACGTAATTTTAATGATTGAAATATCTAATTACCAATCAACTTAAAAAAGTAAACCGACGCTTGCGCCTATTTTAGCACGCATTTTCTTTTTAGGGTTTGGTTTGTATTTTTCGCGCAGATAAGTGGCCAATCGGAGAGCACAAATTTTGCTATTCCCTGATCAGCCTACATGAATTTCGAACACGCGCGAAAAAAGGAAAAAGCGAAAATACCCAAAAACTAGTGTTTAAATCGACCTTGGTGCACTAATTAAAAATGTCGGAATCGAAATTTTGCAAATAATGGGCAGTAACTATTGCTATATCCTATAATGTAAACGCCCTAACCTAAACATCTATCTTTTCGTACTAAGTTTATTTACAAAATTCGATTTCCTTTTTTGGTTTGTGTTACTCGCGCAAATAAGTAAAATCAAGAAGGAACCCGTTATTTAAATCAATAATTTAAGAAATTATTTTCACTGTGTAACTATTTATGCATTATTTCTATACGTATTGGGAGATTGAGGTTTTGAATGTCTTGCACCGTACGTACGTACGTACGTATATGTAATAACAAATTCTATCAGACAC